GGAGGAGCAGCTCCTTGTAAAGTTTGAATGAACTGGAAATTAAAGCAGATTTTCGGACAGATGGGGCACCCCTGATTTAATGAATGCAAGTCCCCAGAGTGAAGTGAAACATCTGAACGAGAACAAGGCAGCTCGGCGAGCAAGTCAACAATTCACCCACAACCCGAACTACAGATCTTTGCCAAAACTTTGATTGCATCTTCATTTACTGAGTTTGAGGTGATTAGTCCAGCACTTAATCTATACAGGGCATACTCTTCAAAAATGTGCAGCATTGTTAACACCTCTTCATAAATGGGTAGGGGATTTGTATTGAGGTTGCATTGTTGAACGTTGACTGTGCAATTCTCGCTATGACAGTTCAAAGCTTGTCAGTTGACACGCGATATTTCTCACAAGGAATTGATGAGTATCTTCCCACATTTTCCATTCCTTGATCCAAAAGGAAAGCTGTTGTTGCTGTTAGACCTTACTCAGAAGGGTCGCTGCAAATGGGTGCTGAGGTGGAAGGTAGGCAAGGGGTGGGATTGAACATGTCACTATGGAGTGGCAAGTGAGGCACAGTGTGGATGGCTTCAACCAGCTTGTGGGTTTTCTTCAGTCAGTAGATGTGTGGGCAAGTGATAATGGAAACTGGGGAGGGGTGTTGAACACTGGATTCCACTTAAAATACATACTACTTTATTCAGTTGATTGTCTACAAGATTTGTGTGTGATGACTATGTCAGACAGGTGCACAGTAATCTGCCGTGGTGCATGCATTGAGGTCGAGCATTGTCGAAGCAGCATTTTGCTTAGATCCAGAAAGTTTGGCTCAGAGGCTGTTTCTGGTTTAGTCCTATGCTGTAGTTGCCTTCAGATGTTCCAAAATGACAAAGCCCTATCTAGTATCATATCTATATCTTATTATTATCAAATCATATTGAACATCTTATCCTGTGTCCCAGTGTCTTTTTCCCAACAACAGCTCCCAGATTCCCAATGTCTTTTCTCCAAAAGCAGCTCACAGCTTCCCAGTGTCTTTTAAACAAAGCAGCTCCCAGATTCCCAGTGTCTTTTAAACAAAACAGCTCCCAGACCCCCAATGTCTTTTCTCCAAAAGCAGCTCCCAGCTTCCCAGTGTCTTTTAAGCAAAGCAGCTCCCACATTTCCAATGTCTTCTCCCCAAAAGCAGCTCCCAGATTCCTAGTGTCCCCTTCCCAACAGCAGCTCCCAGATTGCCAGTGTCTTTTCGGCAAAAGCAGTTCCCAGAATCTCAGTGTCCCCTTCCTAACAGCAGCTACGTGACCTCTTGGGAGGAACAGAAAGCGGAGATATAAGCACTCGACCTACTTAGGGAAAAAGAATCTGGGACACACCACCCTGACCTCCAAAAGGAGCAAATTTCCAAATTTCAGGATGTGACATTGATCTTGAAACACATTGCTCATTACCCACATTCCTTTTGTACAGAACGGTGAGGAATTCATCCAGCCCCCTTTTGAAAGCTTGCAATGGATCTGTACACACCTCACAAACTGGCATTGCAAATAAATTAAACACTGTTAATTAGAGCAACAAAACTGCAATGTAAAAGATTCTGGTGTCATAAAAATGTTGTTAATTGTTGTTAAAGAGTAAAACAAACATTACATCAAAGGGAGCCCATGTTGTTCCGTATCAGTAATTGCATATTATTTTTAGTTCGACTTAGCCCTGTGATAGACTGGTTCAGTAAATTGGCTGTATCACAAAGAGGTGAAATTCTGTCATACCCAAGCTGTATTGTGACAAACGTAATGATGAAGGACACAATTCAAAGTCTCAGGCTTCTAGACACCACTGCTAAGAGAGATCTTCTTGTTTCCTTTAAAATACAAAATGCTCATATAGTATATATGTGCTTTAGGCAATATAATTAAAGACAAAACTTGTGCTTAATCACCCAGAATGAATCTGAATCCAGATTGAAAGGTTGAAAAAATTCAGCCACATTTTGCATTTATTGATGTGTATAACAATTTGAGTCACTTTGGATTTGAGATCTTCAACCATTTAAGAAATAATGGTACATGGATCTAAAGGACGAAAATACATGTGTACACTTGATACACGTTGGGGTCCCTTCACCAGCATTACAGTGGCCCTGCAGTCTCATGTGACATCAGATAATTTAAAACTGTTACTGTAGCATTGGCGGGATCTCTTGTGATGCAACAGGCCTGCATTATTGTGTAACAACAGCAAGAAAAGGGCTTTTTCAATTTCCCAGAACTTTGTTGAAAATTTTCCTGAGATGTGGTGTGATAACACCAAAGAAGGACAGGGATGGAAGTGATAGGGAAATGGGGTAATAATGCTAAGGCTGGGGTCAAATAAGTAACAAAAGATAGAGGTGTACAAATTTTGTCCTAATTTTAATGTGGTTACTTTCTCGTTTAGTATATTTTCCTGCTGCAATATGGAGTGGGACATGAATTAAAATAAAGGTCAGATCTTAATGAGCACAGAATACAGTTTAGGTTTCAGGTGTTTGCCTGTGAATCACAGGGTCCCTTATGTCTTGGTTTTGAAAGCTGCCTTCATGTCAGAGGAAAACATTAGTGTGATTTGTAACTGCAACAATAACTTCCATTTATATAACATTTTAAATGTAACAAAACATCCCAATTCTTCACAAGAGCATTTTCAAACAAAATTGGAGACCAAGCCATAGAAAGAGACACGAGGACAGATGAACTACAGAGGTCACCTTGGCTGAAGAGGTAGATTTTAATGTGTGCCTTCAAGGAGGACGAACTACAGATTCAGTGACATTGCAAACTTTTCCAACTAATCAACTTGACAGCAGTTGAGCATGTTTTTGAGTAGGCTTTTGTGGCTCTTTCAGGAACTCAGCTTGTCAAGATTCTGAGCACATCCATTAAGGACTTTTATAGATGTGTAAAATAATAGCAATGTGATCACAGAAATGATTATGGATGGTGGAAAATGGAAAGATTTTGCAACAAATAGATCCAGCATTTGTTTACTAAATCATAATGTTTCATTTGCAGTTTAAGTTTAGAATTACCCTTTCTATTTATCAAGCAGACAGAAAGTGTACTGGACAAAAAGGATCACCTGGACATTCTTCAAGCGTCTGTAATTAAGGCAAATTTTAAATACGTTGTACCTTCAAATGTTCAGTAGTCAGGATCCTGTGATTTACCACATATTTATGAATGGTTTCTAAGTAATTGTTTTGGTTTCTGTTTGGTGGTATTTCGTTGTGTGTCAGAAAACTGTTGAGTAGGTCCATGCTTTCATAGTGTACTTCCATGTACCTAGTGACTCTCTCCTGATCTATTTAGTCAGGTTTACTTAATCTTTTGCATTGTCTTTTACATTCTTCTGTACCAGAGTGTCATACACATTTTCTATCAGGGGCCTGATTAGATGTCCTGGCACTTGTCATGAATCAAAATTGAAAGAGACTAAGATAAATAATGTCGTTAATTACATGCATTTATGTTTTAATATCTGCTGCTGTGTGAATGGCCAACACCTCTTGCCTTGAACCATTTCCTCAACATTCATTGGCCTGAAGCTTGTCTTGGATTAATAAAAAACATGGTGATTAATTGATAGCACAGAACACTTAAACCCCAATCACTAACTCTGGAAGCAAATTCAAACAACTCACAACTCTCCACATGACAATGTTTCTGTTGATCATTGTGCTATATCTTTTACATTTAATCATGTATTTGTAGTGTCTTGATCCCTCAACTATTAGGAACCCTTTGCTTCTATATATACCATCCCAACTTTAATGATAGCAATACTTAAGCCATTGATTGTATGATGATCTGTTTTGGGCTTTTGCTGCAAAACGACTCTCCGTTCATCTGGGAGTCCTTTAAAATCTTAATAAAAGCAAACTCTTTCAAATATAATTATTTCTCCGATTGTATTGTAATAATATTAAATATTAATACTCATAAAGGTACTATGAAAGAGCAAGCAATTAATTTGATTCCAGTTACAGTCTTTAACAAAGCAATAAGTAAAACACTCAAACAAATACTCAAAAATAATATCCCTCTTTGAGTATTGTGAAACCACATAAAAAGGCTGCAGCTAATGTCTCCATGTTGATCCCATTGTCAAAGTTCAGTTTATGTATTATACAGTAAAGATACAATTTCTGTAAATGTATTATTTCCTAAATAAAGACAATTTAGGATATATCTATATTGAATAGTGATTGAGACAGGAACAAAGTGGTAGTTTCCTGTCTCAAAAGCATAATGGAGAAGAATATGTTTTTCAGGCATTGTTTTGCATTTTAGTACCAAACTGAGAAAAAGTTGTTATTACTTATGTACATTTACGAAAATCTTGAAGTCTGTTTCATATATGGTTGGTGCAGTTCAGTTTCTGGTCAACAATAACCACCAGGATGTGGGTTATTCAGGAATGTTATTATCATTGAACGTTAATGGGGAGGGGGGAAGGGGGAAGATGCGCTGGTGATGGTGAGATTCACTCTTTTTGGAGATGGTCATTGCTTGACATTCATTTGACATGAATGTTACTTACCCTTTATTGATATTATCAGGCTAAAGTATTACAGGCCTAATGCACTTAGCCATCTTCAAATCTTACTGTCCAGGGAGCAGATCTGTGTAGATCTGAAGACAAAATATGAATCAGCCTGAAATATTAACTTATCTGTTTCCTGACTGACATTTTCTGAGTTCCAGCATTTGATTCTTTAGTTTCAGATTTCTAGCATTTATGTTTTAGATTGCTTTTAGTTTATGTATTGTAAATAAGGATTATAGAGATGGTACCTCTGTGTAAGGGAGAGGCAGCTCATTAAACATTATGAATCTGTGTCTACAAGAACTACCTTACATGTCTATAAGTAAATTTATGAAACTATATCTGATTAGTGAAAGTCATTCATTATTTAAGTTGCATATATTTTGCATAAATGTAATATATATTGAAAATTAATATGTTCTTTGTTACAGGTACCTATCAAGGGCAGTGGATTGGAGGAATGCGTCATGGGTATGGTGTGCGTCAGAGCGTTCCCTATGGGATGGCTGCTGTTATCAGGTCTCCCCTCAGAACTTCTATTAACTCTCTAAGAAGTGAACATAGTAATGGTACAGCCATACACCCAGACATTCCAGCTGGAAGTCCTGCAGGATCAAGGGGGGGCTTTGTTCTCACTATGCATAGTGACAATGATCTTCTTTCAACCAAAAACAAAAAGAAAGGGATTTTTCGCAGATCCCTTTTAAGTGGGCTGAAACTCCGGAAGTCCGAGTCCAAAAGTTCCTTGGCTAGCCAAAGAAGCAAGCAGAGCTCATTTCGAAGTGAAGCTGGGATGAGTACGGTCAGTTCTACAGCCAGTGATATCAATTCCACAATTAGTTTTGGTGAAGTTGAGACAGATTTGTCAGTCATTGAAGATGATATAGATGCAACAACAACAGAAACCTATGTGGGAGAATGGAAGAACGACAAACGCTCTGGGTTTGGGTTAAGCCACCGGTCTGATGGCTTGAAATTCGAAGGGGAGTGGCTGAGCAACAAGAGGCACGGTTATGGATGTACAACATTTCCAGATGGAACAAAAGAAGAAGGCAAATATAAACAGAACGTGTTGGTGAGTGGGAAGAGGAAGAACTTGATTCCTCTACGGACAAGTAAGATTCGAGATAAAGTGGATAGGGCAGTGGAAGCAGCTGAACGGGCTGCAGCTATTGCCAAACAAAAAGCTGAGATTTCTGCATCCAGGTAAGAAACTCATTGTTGACTCATTTCAAACTGCGTTTATTTTTAAATGATTTTGTATGGTACTACCAGATAACCAATTAGATAGAAGTTCTATGAACAGGTTTGCTTTTGGTCCAAGACATGCAAGACTGAAGACCTGGTGTATAAGTGGTAGATTGGAAATAGAGGGATAACTTGGGTTCTATACAGTTGTAGAGTTGGTAGAGAATGTAAATTGACCTGTGGGAGCTTGACCCATGAATGCTCAATTATTTTGAGTTAGGCCAACATGGTATTGGATGATAACATTAGCTCAAAAAAAGGAAGTGTAAAGGAATTATGCTGGAACTCTAGAAGTGTAGAAAAGAGTACAAGGTGAGTAATATTGAAAGATAAAAGGAAGCAAGAGAAGGAACCCAGAGGGAATTGGTGTCATGTTGGCAGTTTAGCTGCAAAAATGCAGGTGTTGATAAGTGGAATATAGACTCGAGCTGATAGAGAAAAGGGTTCTGACATACAAATAGGAGAAGTAATGCTACTGAACATGAACATGTCACTGAGTGGGAAACTGAATTACGATAGAAGTTCAGCAACTACATACCTTCAGCCCTAATTCAGTATTTGTCAGTTAAATCTGAGCCTCACAACCACCCCACCACTCCAAAATCTCCATTTTGTCTTTGCCCCAGATCTGAAACAAACACTAATTTGAAGTTAGCAGTGCTCCTTCTGCTTGATTGGTACATAATGGAAAGCTAACAATTTTCAATTTTTGTCTGTAAGTAATCATCACTTATGCATCTTGGTTTTGGTCTTCGCTAAGGTTCTCTCTCATTTAAACCTTTATTTTGAAAGCCATCAAAGCAATATAGAAATGGAGATGTTTAATTCACACAGTTATTGCCACCAGGTCAAATTCCAGTGTTATTCACAGACTTCAGTCTGACAATTAGAAATATTAAACATTTTGTCAACCTCCAAATTAGAGCAGTTGGTAGGTTCATAACATAGGCTGAAGCTCAGTCTTTGTGCTACTCAGAAACATACCACCTGTTATTTGAATGTAAATCATTACAGGGAAGAAGAGATGTATCAAAGTGAGTGTTGTTAAAATAATAAGTGTAAAATTTGGATTAGTAAATAATTGATAAAAAAAGGGATTAATTTCTGCCACAGCTATTCAATTGTAAAGTTATTTTGAACTAATTAACTTTTGTTTGTTATGACATGGTACTTTTGTACTTCAGTAACAGATAATGGATTCCATTGCAGAAAAGTGGAAGCGTACTATTAGTATCTGAAGAGAAAGAATTTAAAGTTTTACATAGATGCTTAATCATTTAAATAATTTGAGTTAGAAACTAAATGCCATTTTGCACCTTTCCTAAAACTAGATTTTGTTTTTGGGTAAATTATTATATATAACTTATACATTTTAACACAGTAGGAACTATAGATTTTGTAAATTAAAATATAGATTAGTTTATTGCGACCATCTTTCTCTTATAAGAAAAATAATAGTCAAATGGATAGAGGAAATGAATAATTCTATTTCTCAGACAAAAACTGTTTATGATTCTCTAATCTGGGCCAAATGAGATGTAAGTAATGTTAGGCCTTCAGCCATTTTTTGAAACCATTGAGAAACTAGTTTATGAGCACTATAAATTACACTTAGGTTCTTTTAAAATCTGTAGCATCAGTTCAGCAGAACCATTTGCCTGAAGTCACTATGTTTAAAATGAACTTGTTGGTTTTGTCCAATATGAATTTTGGTATTGGCAAAGCTGTTTTTGTCAGAACTCTTCCATGTGGAGTGCATTTGTTGAACAGTTAGAAATACTTTTGTTTGCAGCAGTGATGTTCAGCAACACAAGTAGGTTCAAATTTAAAAAGAAAACCAGCAATTTTCCTCTGCAGTCATAACTCTGTTGGGAATTGGGATTGTCACTGGCAGAAAATGTTTAATTTATCATCTTTAACATCTGTCAGAAGGAACATACCTCAAGTTTATCTTAAATGTCTTACTAAGAGCTGAGTACTAAGATTTAAAAGCAGGACTACATTGCACAAGATTATTAGGGTTTTTTTGTCAGTATTGGGCCTGTTGCATAAACTAAGGCATAGAAACTCATTGGGCCAGGAAAACCATTGTAGAAAGAAAGACTGAGAATTATATATAGGAACAAAAACAAAGTTGCTGGAAAAGCTCAGCAAGTCTGGCAGCATCTGTGAAGGAG